TAGATGTGGGGCGAAAAGGAGAAATCGGATCCGCTGCTTTTGGGTGGATTCAACATGGGCATGGGAAATGGCCTACATCCACACAAGTACTCGCATCTCTACCAAGGACTTCATCAAGGAATCAACGGAAAGTCACGACCCGTCGTGCTTTGGAAAGGAGAAACTGCCAGGAAAAAACGATTCGGTTGGTTCTCTTTGCTGGGCTTTTAGGGGTAAAAATTGAAAAGAGTTAGGGTCAGAGGTCCAAGGGCTTCATAAGGTAGAGCTTTATGAAAATTTGAGTGATTGGTTGGTTTGTAGAGTCAGGTAAGTCCACTCAAGTATAATTCTGGTCTCTCAGAGTCGGCGGTAAGTTTCAAGAGCCCTAAAATTAGTCTTGGGTAGTGCAAAGGTAAAACGTAAGCCTAAACATAAAGACAGGAGAGGATAAAGTTGAAGAAAAGAGAAAGATTGGAGAAACCTTCAAACTTGGGATTTCAACCACATACGATAAGCTTAAGTCATGATACCATTGATGCAAAATCTCCACTTTTAAGTGTAAACTCGAGTATTTCATTCAGTACTGCAAGAAACTGAGTAAAGGTAAGTATTTAGCGCATGTATCAATATCCAAGTAAACACAAATGAATAATTGTTCTCAGAAATAATACAGGGATGGTAGTTTGAGACTTCTTCTGAACGACATCGTTAGTATTGATGGAAAAACGATATGAGTGAAAAAAATGATATGGGTTAGACTGAAATGTTATAGATGAAAATTTCTGGTACCTAGAAAGCCTGACGCATACTGCTGAACGAATGACATTTACTTTACTATTTGGGTAGTGTCAAGAGAATCACGGGTATCTCGTGTCTAATATCGCGAAAATAAAGATATTATAATATTGTATATGCTCCCGTGTTCGCTTTTCAGAGCGCTTCAGATTTGCAGCACGACATGTGATCGTTAGATTCTGGACAATGCTACCATTTCAAGTTGAGAAACCCAAATAACTGTGGGGTTTTCAAAATCTAGTTTCTTATAAACTTGGAGAAACATGAATTTCGAAAATCTGCAAATGGCATACTTGCTTGTTTTTACTTGTAAATTACTCGAATGATGAAAACTCGAACTAGCTTTGCGAAAAAAATTTTGGGGCAAGACTAGTGCCACGCCCCTTTTCCTAGGAATTTTATGGTTATGGCTATAGAAATTCCGAAAAACATTCAAAATTTCTTCTGAGCGGTATGACATCC